TGACCTTCTCATCTTTAGCCTTTCTTCTAATTTGATATTGATTCTGACTAACTTTTAAGAGGAAATGAAAAATAGACATGCATTTAAATACAATTTTAAAACTGAAGGTTAAAGTGATTTAGGCATACGTATACATAGGCTTCACCTTGTATAAATTGTGTATGATCTGGTAAGATTTCCTGAAGAGGACTTTACATAGAGAAATCTTGTTTTTCAGGCAAAAAACATATATGAGAAAGTTGAGCTAATTGATATCTATGGTCCCTCCCAGCTCTGACATTCTCTGTTCTAAGGTCTCTCCCAGCTTCAACATCTTCTCTAAGGTTCTTCTTAGCTCTAACATTCTATGTTCTAAGGTTGCTTCCAACTCTGACATTCTCTGTTCTAACAATTCTCCCAGATCTGACATTCTATGTTCTAAAATCTCTCCCAGCTCTAACATTCTCTGTTCTAAAGTCCCTCTCAGGTTCCACATCTTCTTTTCTAAGGTTCTGATTAGCTCTAACATTCTGTGTTCCAACCATCCTCCCAACTCTGACATTCTGTGTTCCAAGGTCCCTCCCAGCTCTGACATTCTATGTTCCAAGGTCCCTTCCAACTCTGACATTCTATGTTCCAAGGTCCCTTCCAGCTCTGACATTTTCTGTTCTAAGGTCCCTCTCAGCCCCAACATCTTCTGTTCCAAGGTTCTTCTTAGCTCCAACATTCTCTGTTCTAGATTTCCTCCCAGAGACTTCAGGAGGCACTCCCCAGTCCATCTAGCTGCACAGAGTCCCAAGGAAAACGAAGCCCCAACTTCCACCCACTGAGAGTTGAGGCAAAAAACCAAAAACCCCATGCAGCTGCCAGTAAGTCGAGTACACCGGTGTTGAGGGAGGGAGGTGGCCTCCGCCTGCTGCCTCCTCTTTATTCATCGCCACTGGAGTGCACCTGGCTGCAGTTTCAGATGGCAGTCAGCTGCTGTCAATTCCAGGGGGCACAGCCAATTCCACTTGGTTTGATGTCGGAGGGAGGGAGTGGGGCTCAAGAATCTAATAAAAGCTCCATCCCCAAGACAGCCTTAAAATGGCCCTTCCAGGAATGAAGGACGAGTCACTAGACAGAGGAAAGGGCAGAGGAGGGGAAGGAGGTCCTGGAGAAAGCGCTGAGGCAGCCAGGAGGCCATGTGAGAAGGGGAGGTGTGATGTGTGAGAGATTAAAATGGGACCAAGCCGATCCCATCCCGGCCTCGGAGGGAGGAAGTGTCATGTTGGTGAGGGAAGGTCCTCTCCAGAGTGCCAGAGAGACAACTGTGGGTGAGACGGCAAGGCACGAGTCAGGGAGGAACGGACAAAGGCATAATCTTAGCCAAAGGTATTTTTAAACATCCGGAGATCTTGAGATGCGGGAAACTGCTGTGCAGCTTTCTTGGGACCAGGGTCTGCCTCAGGATGTCTGGGCCGGGGCTTCTGGGGGAAGCTGTCCTGTCTCACCTCCTCAGCACCTGGGACGGCCCTACAGCTCTCTCACTTTTCCACTGGAATGAATAGATTCCCACCAGTTTGGGTTCAAACCAAAGATTTGTCATTTTTGTGCCTCACCAGCCAGCCCAGGAGGTCAAGAGGGCTGGGACAGGCCTTAGAATATAAACTCCCTGAGGGCAGGGACTATTTCACTTTTTTTGTATTCTCAGTGCCTAGCACAATGGAAGCACACAGTAAGCAGTTAATAAGTACTTATTGACTGGTTGACATCATGGAGGTGGTACAGTGGATGGAGTGCCAAGCTTGGAGTCAGAAAGACCCGAGTTCAAATCCTACCCCCATTACTTACCAGCAGTATGAGCCTGGCCAAATCATTTAACCTTCCTAGGCCTCAGTTTCTTCATCTGTGAAATGGGGAGGGGAGATTATAGACTTGATGACTTCTAAGGTCCTGTCCAGCTCTAAGATCATATAGCTTCACAGGATTGAAGATTTAGAGCTGGAAGGGATCTGGGAGATCATCTTGTCCAACCCCCTCGTTTTACAGGTGGGGAAACTGAGGCCCAGAGATGGGGAGTGACTTACTCAAAGTCACACAGCAAGTTAGTGATGTTGTCCAGATTAGAACTCAAGTCTCTTGGCCTTTTTTTTCCTTTACATAATGCTCCCTTTCCTACTTCCTGTTGCCTCCTCTGCTTCTCTACCTCCGGAATGTGTGGGGTGCTCTAAGCCAAGCTCTGGACTCCTAGAAACATTGACTTTCTCTGTGGAGATCACTTAACATCTGAGAAAACTGAGGCCTAAGGCTTAGTGACTCGCCCAAGGCCACATGGCTAATGAGTGGCAGAATTTGGACCCAGGGCCACACAATGACAGATCTGAGACTAGAGTTCTGAGTCTTTGCCAGCATCTTCTCCTATAGATCACAGCCTCAACTTTTGGGAGTGCCCCTAGAATCCCAACATTGGGAGGAACCTTAGAGGCCAGGGCGTCCACACAATACACCAACAGGAATTCCCTCAACACCAAATCTGGCCTTCTGCTTGAATACTTCCAGTGATGAGGAGCTCACTACCTGTCAAGATCTGCAATAGCCTTGCTGTCTGGTCTGACTCCTTTACCTCCTTCCTCTGATCCTTACCCAAATGCTTCCAGCCTTCTCTTCAGGGATTCCCACACCAGGCGGGTGTCTTTTGGCCGCACGGTGGTGCTCCACTCCCCTTTTGCTTTGTTTATTCCTGGTCTGAAGCAGACCAGGGTGATGGAGGCTCTGAATTCAGAGGCCCTGTATCCAAATTCTGTCTCTGATACTTGTCTGACCATGGGGAAGTCACTGGGCCCCTACAGGCCTCAGTTTCCCAATCTGTGAAATGGGGGGACGGACCAAACGATCTCCCAGGTCCCTCCTGGTCCTCAATCTATGATGCATTTTAGACCTTGGAGATCAGAGGCAGACACGTCTCCGTGTCACCTCAGTCTTTCCTTTTTCCCACATTTCATCAGATCCCCATCTGCATGTTACACTGCAGTCACATGCCCAGCATCAGGACTCTCAGTACCCGGTGTTAGAACTGCAAGGGGCCTTAAGACACAAGTCAAGATAACAAGCATTTATTAAGCACCTACTACATACCAGGCACTGTCCTGGGCACTGGGATACAAAGAAAGACAAAAGACAGTCCCTGCCCTCCCGGGGCTCCCAGTCTGATGAGAGGAAACAACCCACAAACAAGATGTGTGCAGGATAGCCCCAGGACAATGACCTCAGAGGGAAGGCGCTGCCATTTAGGGCTTGGGAAAGGCTTCTTGTGCAAGGCATGAGGTTGACCTTGTAGGTCCTAGGATCTAGAAGAGCCTCAGAGCCTGGGAGATCAGCACCTGCCTCCTATAAGGAAGCCAGGCAGGGATCCCCTGAAGCAGAGAGGAGGAAGGGAGCACGTCCTAGGCGTGGGAGACAACCTGGGCAAAGGCCCTGATCCAGGGGATGGAATATCTGCGATGTTTTTATGTTTACGGGTTGCCACGTGGGTGTCGTCTGCCCACACAGGTGTGTTTAGATAAGGCTCATTTGTTGTTGCTTAGATACAGCTCATTTCAGTTATGTCCAACTCTCCATGCCCCCTTTGGGTTTTCTTGGCAAAGATACTGAAATGGTTTGTCATTTCCTACTCCAGTTCATTTTACAGATGAGGAAACTGAGGCAGAGTGAAATGACTTGTCCAGGGTCACACAGCTAATAAGTGTCTCAGGCCAGATTTGAACTCAGGTCTTCCTGACTCCAGGCCTGGTACTCTATCCACTGTACCACCCAGCTGCCCAGATATAGCTCACAGGGAGTCATAAATAAACATTTTCAGAATTTCTTCTACCCACACTTCTCCAAGGGAGACTTTGATTGCTTTCCATAAGGAAAGCAGGAGATTGGTGTCAGAAACTGGTTACTCTGCTCTCCTCAGACAAAGGGTCTGACACAGGGCCAGAATTATATCTGTTCCCCCCCACAAAAAAAAATATTATTAGTCTAGGGGAAGTAATGTTAGGTTCAAGGAGAGTTCTTAATCCCCATACCTTAAAAGGAAGAAATGAATATACATATATGTGTGTATGTGTAATATACACGCATGTGTATGTGTAATATACATGCGTGTGTATGTGTAATATACACAGATGTGTTTGTGTATGTGCAATATGCACATATGTATATGTGTGTAATATACAGACTGTGTATTGCAATGTACACGCATGTATATGTGTGTATTGTGATGTATACACATGTATATTGTATATGTGATGTACACACATGTGTATGTGTGTATGTGTGATGTGCACGCATGCATATGTGTGTATAATGTACACGCGTGTATTGTGTGCCTGTGTGATGTACACACGTGTATATGTGTGTATAGATGTATGCATATGTAACATATATATGTACATGTCAAAGGCTTGACTTCTTTCCCACCAAATTCCAGTTCCATAAAGAGCACACACAGCAAATAGCAAATAAACCTTCATGACAAACCCATACACCCTGGACCTAACACAGGACGAAGAAAAGATTACTTAGTTTTTAGTGTATTTTATTGCCTTGTGTTTTTATGTCATTTCTGGATATAAGCCTTTCCTACATCAGCATTGAGCCCCTCCCTCGTAACAAATCAAAACAGCTTATCAGAAGTAACCAATATGGCGCCTGTCTCTGACAGCATATGCAGCACTTGGCCCCCATAGACCCTCACCTCTCTGCCAGAAGGAGGAAGGTCTGTTTCCTCACCTGTTCAATGGGACCAAGGCTGGTCCTCACGGCCCCTCTCTTAGCGTTCTTTCGTCCTTGTTCCACTAGCCTCTCTGCTTTGTCCTGCATCAGTGCAGGCCACTTTCCCCATGTCTTCCTGCTACTCTCCATGCTGAGGGAGAGCGGGAGACCTGCCCGGGGTCGCACAGCGAGTCAGTGGCAACGCCAGGCCTGGGACGTCGGCGGGACCTTCGGCGACCCGCTCAGCGCCTTCTCTCCCCTCCCCTGTCTTGTTCCGCCAGGTCCAGCTGGCTGAAGCCGTGCTGTGGAAGGCGAGCCTCCGTGTGGCAGGTGTTTTTACTGAGCGCGAGTCTCAACAGCTTCCTGGTGGCCTGTGTCATTCTGGTGGTGATTCTTCTGACCCTGGAACTGCTGATAGACATAAAGGCTCTGCAGTGTGAGTAGCGAGACAGAGCCCCGGGTGTGTGAGCGGATCCGCGTCTGCCTGTAGATTTATTCCACGTGTACCCGGTGGGGCAGGGGTCCCCAGCCAGCCGCTCGTCCCCCGTGGGTGGGACTTGCACCCTTCTGGGGAGGGGTCCAAACCAGCCAATGCCAGCATATCCTCTCCTGTGGCTCGTGGAGGTGGTCATAGCAGCCAAATTTGGCCAGCAGCCATTTTCTCCTCACCTGCAGTAGGGCAGGGCGAAAAGGGAAAATGGATTTGGAGCCAGAGAGGCCTGGGTTTGAGTTCCAATTCAGATGCTTCCTACCTGAAGAATACTGGCCAAGTCATTTGGCTCCTCTGGGCCTCAGTTTCCTTATTTGAAAAATGAGGAGAGGCAGCTAGGTGGTACAGTGGATAGAGCACCGGCCCTGAAATCAGGAGGACCTGAGTTCAAATCTGGTCTCAGACCAAACACTTAACACTTACTAGCTGTGTGACCCTGTGCAAGTCACTTAACCCCATTGCCTTAAAAAAATGAGGAGATTGAACTAGATGATTTCTGAGAGGTTCCCACTATGACCCCTTTAATAATTTGTATTCACATTCCCCTCTCCTGAATGTAAGAAAGAGATTTGGGGGAAATCTTCATCAGGAAAAGGTTGGGGACCCTGTGTGGAATGTACTTTTTAAATTGTTTCAAGTGAGTTTCCTTTCCTTCTCTCTCTCCCCCACCCCACTGGTAGGTAGGGAGGTACCTTTTAAAGTTTAATGAATTTGCCTTTGTGAAAAAGTTATACACGGCTAAACCAGGTGAACCTGTTGTTGATATGGGCCCTCTGGAGAATATGTCAGGGTCTTGGGGAACCATTTGGAACAAACCCTTCTGTCCTTGCTGATGCCCTTAAAAGACATCAGAAAAGGTACCCAGGCCCCTGGGCCTCGGGCATCAAGGGCACACATCTACCTGGGCCTCTGTCTTCTCTTGGAGCTCTAGGGAAACTGTCTTTAGCCCCCAGGACTTTTTTAACTTATTAAATTCCCCTATCTTTGAACCTCAGCCAGAGGTCCCCAGCCTCTGGGAGCTTCCGGGACCCTTGGCCAATTGGGATTACAGAATTCAAAGATCTGATGCACAAGAGTCTTTGCTGTCCCTCTTTTGCTCTTTCTGCCTCCACCACCAATGTCTTCAGTAATCACTACCATTTATATAGCGTTTTAAGGTTTGCAAACCTTAACGTGTGTTCATTCTTTTATTCCTCCCAACAAACCTGTGAGGTAAGGGGCTATTATTATCCCTGTCTTATAGATAAGGAAACTGAGGCAGACAGAGGTTAAGTAACTTGCCCAGAGTCACATAAGAGACGAGATTTGAACTCAGGTCTTCCTGACTGGCTCACTGTACCTTCCTCCAACAAAGAGCGTGGGATTTGGGGGAGAAACAAGGGAATACAGGCAGGTCGATCGAATAGTGACCATCACCTCGTCATCAGAGTGATTCGGCTCAATGCAAAAGTCACTCCGGGAGTTCTGTTCAAGCAAAGACCTCCTCTGCTTTCTGCTTGGTCAGTGGACCAAAGAGGCCAACTCTCTCTCATCTGTGACCCAGGAATAGCCAGACACTGACCCTAGGTCCAAATCCCACTTACATACCTTGGGCAGGTTTCTAAACCGCCCTGGTCCTCAGTTTCCGTGGCTGTAAAACAAGGAGGTTGGGCTCCATGGCCCCTGTCCTCTTCAGCTCTGGATCTGATCTTTGGGCCCCCTGAAACCTCCACCAGGGAAGCCCTTTCTAACAAAGGACGCTTGTAAGAACAGACCGACTTTCTCTACCGGACAAAACCATTTGGCTTTAATGTGCCTGGTGGCCCCTCGGTCCCAGTGAAAGTATTTCTCCGGCGTGGAGTTGACAGACACTGGCTTTATACTCAGCCAACCTGTCTTGAATTAAAGCACATTCTATTTTCCCCTCCCTCGCCCCCCTACACATCGTCTGATTTTTATGTGATTTAATCATAACAGAGACTCTGGTTCCATGCCGTGAATTCTCCATAGGCCCCTTGCTACTTCAGGTTGTAACCAAGCCATTGGGCAGAGCTAAGAACCTAGCAGACACGGACTGGAATTTTGCTTAAAATTAAGTATCCAGGAGATTGGTTTTGGTGGGAGACCCAATGGCAGCTCATAAAAGGCATCTTGAATTCCATAAAATGTACAGCCGGAGATTTATGGCTCTTCTCAGACAAGCCATAAAAAAAATAAAAAATAAAAAAACGGCACAGGAATTCATTTGAGAAACAACGGACGGAGAGAGGTTTATGTTCTCAGTCTGGTCCCTTCCGAATCACACAGACGCTTGGCTCCCTGGATCGGTTTCCACTGACCCCCGGGCAGTTTGAGGCCCGGAGGAATCGGGGGTAGTTTGAGGGGCAGAGCTCATAAGGCTACAGCGGCCTAAAAGGAATGCACCCACAAAGTCAAATCCTCTCCCTGTCCCTGCCCCACTGATCTGGTCCTTACCTTCCCTGTGGGATAGCTAGGCAGGCACAGTAGTCAGAGCTCTGCGCCTAGAGTCAGGCAGAGCTGTGTTCAAATCTGGGTTCGGATGCTTACTAGTTATGTGATCTTGGGCACGTCACTCAATTTCTGTTTGCCTCAGTTTCCCCAACTGTAAAATGGGAATAATAACAGAACAGCACATGCCCCTGTTGTGAGGATCAAATGAGATAATAATGGTAAAGCACTTGGCACAGTGCCTGGCACACAGCGGTGCTATATAAAAATGCTCCCTTCCCTTCCCCTTTCCTAGGGTGCTCATTCCTCAGGTCTTCTGGTGTTATTATAATTTGAATATAGCCTTATCGTGGAGCCAAAAGACTCTACATCAACAACAAACATTTATTAAGCACCTACTATGTGCTAAGCACCGGGGATACAGAGAAAGGCAAAAACAGTCCCTTGCCCTCAAGGAGTTCCCAACATCCAAAAACTAAGTACAAGCCAGATCCAGCAAGGAGACTTGGAGGTGATCACAGAGGGAAGGCACTAGCATTGCCGGGGCCTGGGAGAGGCGTCCTGCACAAGCTGGGGAGTCAGCTGAGATCTGAAGGAAGCCAGGAAGCCACGAGGCAGAGATGAGGAGAGGGAGAATCCCATCCTCTAGGGACAGCCAGGGAAGATGCCCAGAAGTAGCACGTGGGAAGAAGGGCAAAGAGGCCGGTGCATCCTTCTGAAAATCCCTCCCTTGCCCTGCCCCTCGATTTCTTCATCTGTGTGATGAAGAATAAGCCTCCTCGTGCTGCCTGCCTCACAGAATCTTTTATGAGCCTGCAATGGGAGCTGGTATTACTGGAGAGAAAGGGGCGCAGTGGGTAAGCAAGACCAAGGCTGTGACACGCTCTGGCCGTGTGATCCCAGACAACTCCCTTGACCTCGGAGAGCCTCCATTTCCTCATCTGTAAAATGAGATTAACAATGGAGGCAAAACAGCCAGCCTCGGAGCTAGGAAGACACGGATTCAAGTCTCGCCTCTGATGCTTGCTGGCTGCGTGACCCTGGGAAGATCCCTTAGTTTCTCAGTGCTGTAGGTAAATCTTTTAGATTACAAGCTGCAGAGACCCAGCCTGTATTGGTAGAAGATGCTCCCTACATGGATGAAATCACAAGTTTAATTAAAACTTCCTGTGTGACTTTGAGCAAGATCTGTCTCCCTCTGCCTCAGTTTCCCCTCCTATAAAATGAAGGGGTTGGATGAAACGGCCTCCAAGGTCCCTTCTGGCTCCAAATCCTATGATCATCCATTTTGGTACCTTTTTCCCCTCCCCGTCTTCCACTGCCAGTTCCTCAGGTCTATTATGCTGCCCCAGGTAGGCTGGGGTCTCCTACTGGGCTGTGTGACCCAGCCTTCGCTCCACATCAGAGCCCTACACTCTGGGCTTCTCATTCCTTAGAGATGTTTATATACAGGAATGAGGGGGCTGAATGGTCAGGCTCCCATCCGGTCACAGCAAAGACATAGGACGGCCCTGGAGGTGTGCCACAGCCGAACATCTCTTCCTAAGGTGATCCTGGGGTTTCCCAGAGAAGTTACTCCTGTGCCTTGCCCTTTAGGGAAGCTCCTTAGCTTTGACACTTGGAGTGTAGAAAAAAGAAACCCTAAAGGACCTGGCTTCCCAAATCCCACCTCTGTGACTTTGGGCAAATCATATAACCCGCCTGAGTCTGTTTCTTCATCTATAAAAGGAAAAAGTTGGACAAGAGGGCCACTGAGATCCTTGTGAGCCTATCACAAACCGAAGTTCATGCAAGGTCCCTACTGAGTCATCTAAACCAGCCATCCCTCCAGATTTAGGCTTCCTTGGTGGATCTTCCATGTCAAGCTTCCTTCCCCCAACATCCTTACAGTGGAGACAACAAATCCACCAAGGCCAGCACCTTGGATAGCATAGAGGAGAGGATGGGGCTGGCTCTAGGTAGTAATTAGAGATAGAGAGGGTCACCAGGGCAGCTAGGTGGTGCAGTGGATAGAGCTTCAGCCCTGAAGTCAGAAGGACCTGAATTCAAATCCGGCCTCAGACCAAACACTTGATACTTACTAGCTGTGTGACTCTGAGCAAGTCACTTAACCCCAATTGCCAAAAAAAAAAAAAAGAGGGTCCCAATGTCAGGACAGAGAGGTCCTTAGACCTCCCCAGAATGCCCCTACCTCTTTTTTTTATATTAAGAACCTGAGGCTCAGAGAGAGAAAGAGTCTGGTCAAGAGTCAACCCACTGGTCGACAAGCACCTATGTTCCAGACATTGTATTAGGTTCTGTGTATATACGCACAAAAATGATGCAGTCCTGCCCTTATAGAGCTTACGTTCTACTGGAGGATTTTATGCAACATTGGTGCTGAAAGGGACCTTCCTTTTACAAATGAGGAAACTGAGGTCCCAGTACATGAATTGATTTACTTAAGATCACACAGTCAACAAGTCAGAGTTGGGATTCAAACCCAGGTCTTCTGCCCCCAAGTGTGATGGCTATGATGGTTCCATTTGCTTGTGCTAAAGAAGACCTGGGAGCATCTTCCCATAGTTAGCTCTTAAAACCTGTCATTGGCATTGAGGCAAAAGAACTGTTTGTCCTTCTTTCCCTGCCCTGCACATACACACACACACACACACACACACACACACACACACACACACACACACACACACATACTCATGCACCCACGCTCAGCTTGCCCTTCTGTTTTCCTTCATTATCATCTTTGAGGTTTTCTGTCAAGTTGACTTCAGTGACACCATATTCCTGGGATGATCCCACATTGGGTTTTTCTCTGCAATCCCCAGAGCTGACCTCGGTTCCAAGCCACCTAGTTACTCTCTAGACACTACCTCTTTACACTTAACTCCTTTATCCTAAGCCTGGCTTTTCTTGTACTGTGTTCCTTACAGTTTCAAATTCATCCCAGTTTGCTGGAGTCAGTCACTGGATCAGCCTGGTCATCCTGTCTGTGTTCTTCTCAGAGGTAGGTAAAACACTACAGCCCCTCTCTTGAAAGAAAGCCACTTCTTAGCCGTGTGACCCTTGGCAAGCCATTCACTTCCCTGGCCTCAGTTTCCCCATCTGTAATATGAGGGACTTGGACCTGATGACCTCTGAGGTTCCTTCAAGCTTTAAGTATACCATTTGGTAAAGGACCTATCCTCTCTCTTCTGGCCTCTGGGACACTAGTCAGATTCTCTGCCTCTCTAGTCCAAGGTTCTTAAAACCATTTTTGTGTCCGAGACCCCTTGGGCAGTCTGGTGAAGCTACAGACCCCTCCTTGGACTAATGGTTCTAAATGCACAAAATCAAATACATAGGACTTCAAAGGAAGCCAATCACATTGAAACATGCTTATCAAAGAATTAAGAAAAAAAAGTTCATGGATCACCAGGTCTGTAGAGAACATGAGTTGCATTTGACCAGGAAATACAGCAGGAGGCCCTCTGGGCAAAAAGACAGAGCTAATTACACAGCCTTACAAGCCACCTTCAAGGTCCACCTTCAGGTTGCTATGGAGTGACCCAGGGTTCCTGAAGGCCATACTGATAGGGCCTAATCTCTGGATGGTCCTGTCAAGCCAGCGTGCTTTGATCTAGAGGCAATGTGCTGTCATGGAAGGAGCTTTGGCTTTGGTGTGAGAGGACCTGCCTCTGTCCCTTTCAACTGAAATGACTTTGCTCAAGTGGCCTAATTTCTCTTGACCTCATCTTCTGTGTCTGTAAAATGGGGTGAAGGTGTTGGAGCAAATGGCCTCTAAGGTCCCTTTCAACTCTAGATCTGTGATCTATGACGATAAGCCTGACAATAAATCAATTCAACAAGCATTTATTAATCACCTACTGTGTACTTAATACATAAACACATGTGTCAGTTTCTGGGGCTACAAGTAAAAAGGATTAAACAATCCCTGCTCTCAGGGAACTTGTATTCTAATGGGAGAGCCAGTGGGACATAGATATAAATATAGATGGAGACAGAGGTTACAGAGGAAGCCAATTAGATGGTATCTAGATAGATATAGCACAAATGTAAAGTAAATAAGTACGACTGTCTCCAAAGTCCTTCAATAAAATTCTAGAATTCCAGCTTTAGAACAGTTTGCATTTTTACCGAGTGCCCTCATTTTCCTAAGATAGATTCCTTCTAATTAAGCATTCGTTTGCTTATTTATTCAAATAATAAATTGTTGTGCAGGTAGCCTATTCGTGTGCTGTAACCTATCATGGATTTCTCTGTTGCCCTTTGGATCAGAAGCAACTTTAATCCTTTAGAGACTGAGATATTTTAAGATTGGCACCCTACAGAGCCTCCAAAAGAGCATTCGTGTTAAGAAGTTAGATTTTTGTAGCAGGGAACAACTTTGGAGCCAATTCACATTTTCTCAAAGGCCATCTCTTCCTCCTGTTCAATTCTGGGCCTGACCTATTATTCTCCTGCCATGCCTATCCCAGATTTAGGTACTGATGGACTTGCTCAATGGATTGGACACCCAACTGCGTATGATATTCTAGATAATAGGCCTTTTCATCCATTTGGTTTTTCCTGTATAGATTGTTGGCTAATCTTTGTCTGAAAAATCATGGATCTCATGAAAGAGGCCCTACAAACTTCTGAAGCTTGATGCAATTAGTATAATATCATATGCAAACAGGTGCATTTAGGAAAATCTTGCCATCTATAGAGATTCCCTCTTCCATTTGGACTTTGTTCTCCATGACAGTGGTGAATGCTGTTGGCTACATCGTATTTCTACTGATGACCTACATGTAAGAAGTAGCATAAGCGTTGAGGAAATGTGTGATCAGAAAAAGAGGTGGGGGCAGTCACGGGACAGGAGCAAAGAGATGGGCACACCAAGGGATGCTCTAGCAGCCATAAACTATCAAGAGATATAAAGGAGGGCATCCAAACTTTGTGGAGGGCCTCTGGGAAAGCATGGGCAAGACCTGAATAGGATGAGGAAGTATGGCTGAGTCTCCATCTGCACCAATGGTGGAAATGTCTACATTGACGAGATAGCGGATCTATGACATGGAAGCATGGGGTGAGTGGATGTAGTCAAAGGCAGCTTCCCTTCCTCCAACAAGGTCAGTCTGGCCGGGGAGACCAAAGTGAAAGAAGACGTGAGACAGAAAAAGAAAGCAACATGTGATCCCAGGCCCAACACAGTAGGTGCTTAATAAATGTTTGTCGATTGACTCAGAGCCAAAGAAGGAGTATAGATAATAGGTTCTATAGGACCCAAGAGGAAGCTGAGCTGACTGTGGCGGGGGGACATGAGCTGGAACAGGAGAGATCAGGGAAAATAAGATTCCACTATATTAACAAATGTCAATTTGTTACTTTGATATCCACCCCCATCCTAATTCTGAGATGCAATATTACTCTGACAGCTGTGTAGAAGAGAGAGGGAAGGGCCAGTACTCAAAGCTGTCAAGCAATGTGAGCAATAATAATAGTAACAAACAATAAAAATAACAACATGTATAACACTTTAAGGTTCTCAGAGTACTTTTGGTCATTTGATCAAGGCACTGTGTGGTAACTGCTGGAATCAGTGTTGACAGTAAAGAGGCAGAGAGGGGCAGTGGAAACAGTAGTAGATTTGGAGTCTGAGGGGCTGGGTTCAAATTCTGGCTCTATCATTCCTACCTGTGTGACCTTGGGCAAATCATGTAACCTCTGTGCCTCAGTTTCTCATCTGTAAAATGAGGGGTTTGGAATGGATGCTTCAGAGGGCTCCTCTAGCTCTACATCTATGACTCTTAGTTGGGGAAGGCCTCATGGAGGAGGTGTGACTTTGGGGGACCTCGGAGGATGGATAAGCTTCACAAAGATGGAGAGGAGGGAGGAGGGCATTTCAGGAAAAGGAAAAAGGCATTGGCAAAGTCTTGGAGCTGAGCCTAAATATGTCATGTTTCCATGAGGACATCTGCCTACTTCTGTGCTTGCTTGCAACATTTGATGCTGCGTGGGCTTGGGGCAGGAATTGGGGAGGGAGGGTGTGGAATTTCACTCAGAACTCCACGGAACTCAACCTCTTCTGGTCTCCTTCCAAGACCCCACTTCTCTGCCCAGGACCCAGACTCGTGTCCCTGGGGTGTATTTGTCCGCTGGCATTGGGTTACCTTGAGGATGTTCAGAGCACAGAACGTGTTTCACCTTGCTCTAGGGCAGAGGGTGTAGAGAACAAAGCCCAGAAAATGGAGGAAGCTACCCAGATCTGTGCCTTTTCTCCGCAAACTGAGTGATTTAGGGGTGTTTTGGACACCTGCCCCTAACGTTCTCTGCTGGCCATCCCTTCTCCTTGTATTACCCTCCTAAGCCCCCACTCCCCTGAACACTGAAAAAATACCCCTGCAGTGCTGGCCAGAGCCAGCTGTCGAAATTGCCTCAGACCCTAGCAAATGTGCCATGGATCGGTGAGTGCCAACACAAATGTTTAGCCAGTTGTCAGAGTGCTTTCCCTGGATCCCTCTTCAGGCAGGATGTTGGCTCCTGCAAAATTTATGACTCCATGCGAATTCTCGTTTCCTTCCCTGTCACTGCCAGACCAGAGATGTTCCATCTGAAACTAACGGCCCCTCTCTGCGTGGGCAGTGCCCAGGGAGACTTCTTTCTGCAGGCTGGCAGGGAGCCGAGGGGGGTGGGGAGACTTCTTCCCACTGGCAGAATTTGCTCCCACCCCCTGGTTGGATGCCAAGGCCAAAGAGGATGAAGGAAGTGTCAATCAAGAAGAGAAGGATGGGAGTCTGGTCAAACTGTGCCTGTGCCTGGCATCAAAGGTGGAGCTTTCATCTGGGTGAACAGCCTCTAGTAAGTATATGTGTTTCGGCCCTTTCCTGATATGCCCCAAGTGTTCCTTCTGTGGGGTGGCACCATGCTCAGGCAGGGCTGTGAAGAGGAGAGGCAGGGTAGTGGAAAGAACAGATCTTGCCTTAGATACTTATCACCTGTGTAACCTAGGGCAAGTCACTTAACATCCCCAGGCCTCAGTTTCCTTATCTGTAAAATGAGGGGCTTGGACTAGATGGTCTCTTGACATCCCCTTCCAAGTTCTAACAGTTTCTGAATCTGTGCATCAGCCATGGCAGGGGACCAGTTACTGGGGAAAACACAAAAACGTTCTGACCCACAGAAATGCCTCTCACCTCAGACCAGAGGTGGGCACTGTCTTGTTACCTAGTGGGTAATAGTCAGTCACTCCTTTGGGTAGGTTGGGTAGAGCTAGATGATGGGGTCAGCAGTGTCAGGAGATTGGAACCACTGGTGGCCCTTCCCACACTGGGACTGCTCTCAAGCTACAAGGTGAGAAGGGTCTGTAGTATTTAATGACTCCAACCTATTAGGCTTAATGATGCCCTACATACACGTAACTCTTTGGTACCTTCCAAAGCCCTTCTGCCTCTGTTTTCTCGTCAGATGCTCATGACAAGCAGTGAGGTAGGTGAGGCAAATCCCCATTTTACAGATTGGCAGACTGAAAAGCACCGAAGTTAAATGACGTGTCTGAGGTCACCCGGGAAGTAGCAAAGGCAGCAGGGCTAGAATCCAGGGGTTGGGATCGCTAGTTCGGGTTTTTATCCAATGACAGACAACCACTCCACCCCCACAAGTTGTGTAGAAAGGGCGGATTCTAGGAGATGGAATGGGATCAGGGGCACAGAAAGGGGACAGGGCAGGATAAGGATGGGAAGAGAACACAGTCTGCAGCCCTGGGGAAGGAGAGGGAACCGGAGACCAAAATGATCTAGAAATGCCGAGCCCCGCTTGAATGAAGCTGGCAACATCACCCATCTTGGCTCTTTTTTGTCAGAGGGGAGGAACTCAACTCCGCCTTCCACCTTTTAATGAATTCTCTAATCGTGCCAAGACAATGTCAGTTTGGCTGGTGTGTGAAAAGAAGGAAATAGAGTGTAATGAAGCTGGGAAAGTAGTCTGGAGTCCGATGGTGAATGGCTTTGAATGCCAGGACGAGGA